AGGTCAAACTGTGCATTTCAGATTTATTTAAACTACTTAATTATCATGGTATACAAATAAACTTGACATTAATACAAAGATAATGAACCAAATTCTAATATTATATAAGTTTGAAGTTCGTAACTTTATAAGGAAATATTTAGAAAAATGTTTAATCTCCCTTAGTGTGAAAATGTTGACACACTTGTCTAAGACGTAGGCTTCCTTTAACTTATTTACAACCCCTGCAATAACTCTTCAAAGTGCTGTCAAGTAATCTGTATCCCATTGACATTCTGGAGCTAAAATAAAATTTTATGGCCTTAAATCTTATTGTCTACTCAGTCTATCTCCTGCAATTTTGGGACCCACATGTCATGCCCACTTTTGTAACCCTTTCTTTCCTATAACCCCAAAGATCTCTTTCAGGCTTAAAGGTATTGTGTTTGTAACCAATAGAATACCAATAGAGTAAGCTGTAAATAAATTCCAATTTGAAATTTTTTTTTGGGGGGGGGGGACAGATTGAGGAAATTAACGATATTTTGAAAGGCTGCTGTCGCATAGATAGAAAGCTAGAAAAATTATGAATATTGTAGGACATTGTATAAATTTTACCTGTTATTATTTTGTGTCCATTGTCATGTTATTTAATTAAGTAATAAATATTTTTGAGAAGCAGTATCATTAGTTTAAAATTTTAGAGCTAATAATCCAGGACTAGTAAGGGAAAGTAGAAGACTCAAGAGGTAAGCACTGTATTTCTTGTTCTTCTTAAGTATTCTTTATTTATTGTTATAAAACTGAAAAAAATGTAAAAATGAGAAACTTTTTAGTCTAGATAAGATTAAATTAGGAAAGATAAAAAAATAAAAATTATAAGAAAAATACAAATAATTCTTCATGAAGTATGCTTGCTAGGGCTAACAGCTTGCACAAAGCTTTGCACTGGGAAATTTGATTGGATATCATCTGTTGCTTATTGTCGCAAAACTTGAAAATTTGTAATGCAGGAATTTTGAAAAACACGGTTCAAAGGGCTTTAAAAATAAAATTCAATTAAAAACAAATGTATAATATCAATAACTTTATGTTACTTATTGTAAACAAAGTTTCCTCCTACAATTCGAAATGATTCTAGAAAGAAAAAAGGTAATTTTGGTATATTTTGTTGAGTTAGAACGAGGTTGGTCAAAACAATGGACATCACAGACAGTTAGGGTGATGAATATAACAGATAAAATATTAAATTTGATCACAAAACAAAGGCGGAAATTTATTTAGGGTGTTTCAGAGATTGCACAAAAGAAATATGATAATTTTCAGATGGAGAAAAGTATTCTTAATCTTAAAGTAAAAATCACTGGTCATTCAAAGCAGTGACCCCTTTGACCCTAAACATTAAAAAGCAATTTTTAGCAAAAATACTTGATAAAAAATTCAGACATTTCCTTTACAAAAGCATTATGATGTTTACTAAAAGTTTTCAAAATTTTGTAAATATACATAAAGCATATTAGAAGATATATTATGGGAACTAAAATTATGCTGAATTTATGTCACTAGTTCACATATCTTGTACAGAGTTAAGGGATGACTACTATATTAATAAATTTTATCATTTTAATTAGTGAAGGGAATTTTGCAAATTATTACAGTTTGCAGCCTGCAGGATAAATTTCATTGTTAGACGGTGCAAACTATAATACATAAGTGTATGACATACCAGATCATTCATGAAGACAAATTTATTGCATTCCTTTTTAGGCATCTGCAGACACTCTTACACAAGTTGCTACGGAAACAAACAGGGGAACTGGCAGTTGCCAAGTGCTAATTAATTTATGGCAGCTGCAGTCTGGCATATCTTATAAGTTATAGCAAAGTCTGGTAAAATGGTAACTGGTTTGCATATATTAAAACAGTGTAAGAGTGTCTGAAAGTTATTTAACAAACACATATTCATATTTAAATTAATTATGTGATATTTGTCACATGCTTTGTATAGATACTTGGATGCTTCATTGCAGCAAATGTTTCAAATTGGTAAGTACTATGCACTCGTTTTATACCAATTTTTAAAAAATATATTTGTAAAAACTTGTTTTATTTATTGAGCATTACATTCTTCATTTCTTCTTTATAAATTATTCTTATTGATAACCTTTTTTGTCTAATTAACATTACTACACTTTATAATACCATTTTCGTCCCTCCCTCAGATAAAACAAAAGGCCATATAATTTTTGTATTCATTTCTTTCAGCCCTTCATCATGTATTAACATCATAAATCTGGAGCTGCAACGGAGAGAAATGAATCTACAAAACAAAGAACCCTTAAAAGTCTTGGTTTTGCATAAAAAAAGGTAACATAGCATAAACTGATGGACAAGATGAAATGGTTGACAATACAGTGAAAAAGCAGACAGTCACAACTGAAAGTAACACCGACATCAACAAACATTCAGCAAAAAACAAAGACATAACAGATAAAAAACTGTTTGATTTTGACACTGGATTAATACTAACAGAAAATCTAACACCAACTCAAGCTGAGGAAGCAGTTCAAAGAGGTCATGAACCTTATCCTGCAGTGTTTCGTGATGATGTAAATCAGCATTCATTTTCATTAAGTATTCTTAATACTAAACAGATAAATGGTGAAATTATACCAACAGATTGGTTTGTGCGGAGCTGTCAAAGACGAGCACCATTTTGCTTTCCCTGTCACCTTTTCAGTAAGCTGCCATCTTCGCAGCATTCTTTCTTAACTTCAGCTTTAGGGTATTCCACTCAGAAAAATTGGAAAAAGCTACATGAAAGAATTCTTGAGCATCAAAATTGCCTGAGTCAAAAATTGTGCTATGCTGAATGGTGTAACTTTGAAGAATGTAAAAATTCTGAATCAACATTAGATCAGTTATTGCTGCAGAATATTCAAAGCCAAGGCACTCTCTGGAAACAGATCTTGCCTAGGATTTTAGATGTAACGTTATTCCTAGAAGAAAAAGGCTTAGCCCTTAGAGAAAAGAGTCATCTTGTTGGCGATCCAAGAAATGGCAATTTTCTTGGTATTTCAGAGCTGATCAGCCATTATGATCCCATTCTTGAAGAGCATCTACAAAAAGTAAATGATTCCCAAGCTTCCAATAGCAAATTACAAGTCCATTATTTGTCTCCACAAAGTCAAAATAAGTTCATCAATTGCTGTGCTGAAATAGTAATTAAAGCCATTCTTTCCGAACTCAAAAGCTCAAAGTATTATGCTATAATTGTTGATACAAGTCCTGACTCAGCATATACTCAACAAACTGTGTTCATTCTTCGTTATGTTTGTTACAAGGATGAAACAAAAATGTACGAGATCAAAGAAAGGTTTCTTGAATTCACTGATTGCAATAAAAAGACAGGCGAAGCAATTGCAAGACTGATATGTGATACTCTCCGCAAACATAATATACCGATTTCATATTGCTGCAGCCAAGGCTATGACAATGGAAGTAACATGAGAGGATTTTACAATCGTTGGCTATATACTCTCCATGCACTTATTATAACTTAAATCTATGTGGAGTAAATGCTGCTGAATGTTGCCCAGAAGCTATTACATTTTTTGAAATTGTTCAAAGGCTGTATAACTTGTTAAGTTCTAGTCCACAAAGATGGGAAATTTTAAAAAGAATGTTGGATGCTCACTGCACTGCATGTCAGACACATGGTCTGCTAGGATAGACAGCATTAAAGCATTTGCTATGCACCTTCCTGGAATAAATAAGGCCTTAGATGAATTGCAAGATCTTAATCTAATGGTAGAAACACGTGCTGACAGACATGGCATTCAAAAGTATACAAATTCTTTTGAGTGTATTATAATGGCATCCATTTGATTCAAAGTCCTCTTGGCAATCGATTTGAGAACAAAATTCTTTAGACCAGAGATATGACATTAGATATTGACGTAGAAAATATTAATAGTCTCATTGAAGAACTCCAATATTTGAGAGAGCTGTGTTGCAATTTGGTCAGAAGCAAAATCTGTTGCTTCTACACTTGATTGGGTGTCACTGTTAGACATACTGCCACAAAAAAGGCATCAAATAAGGAAAAAGTTCTCAGATGAAGTATCTTGTAACGAGAAGGAAGATCTGAACCCAGAAGTTAATTTTAAACAAAATGTTTTTTATGTTCTTCTGGATTGTGTTATTGCAAATATGTTTAGACACTACGAAGCTGGAAAGGAGCTAGAGGTGACATTTAGTGTATTATGAAAAATAGCTGTTCTGTGTATGGAGATGAGCCATCTTATTGGAAGTTTGTTCATTTGTTTGTAGTTAAGCACAAAGCTTCACAATTAGTTATCTGTGCTGTGCCCACTATGGGCATTATAAACCTTCAGACTTACTGTTCAGCCACTGGGTGGGCTGAGTTTATGAAAGAAAATTTCATTTTTAATATGACTTGCTAAGTCAAAATAACCTAAAAGAAACTTACGAAGATCTATGACATATATTATTGAAATGGATCTGAACATTCGGTGATGATAGGTGTACACTGTAATTCACTCTTCCTGTTCTGTTCTACAGAAATATCATATTTTACCTGTATTTTGTATGAAAATTATATTACAATTGTATTTTATTCTAAAGTTAGCTGATTTTATACTATGTTATTTTGTAATGTTAAATAACAATTTATTAATGACAAAAATTTATTTATGTAGCATCTGAAATTCATGTTTTCTGATTAAGCCCAAAGTACTGCAGTGATTGTTCAGTTACAGTCTTAACTGCAAACAAAACCAAATTACTGGCAATAAGTTTTTCAAAGGGTTACCAGAAAATGAATAAGTATCTATGGGGTATAAATTCACTTAAGAGATAATCTTTTATAAAATGCTTGTTTTTTAAGTATTAATTTATGATGACTTTTGGGAGGAAAAATTTTAAGATGGAACTTGTGAAATGAATATTATTAAGTATTTTGGTGAAATAAAATAAAATAGAGAGGATGTTAACCTAACCTTACAGAAGAGTCGTGCATCAAGTTGAGCCAACTCGGAAGGAAGGTATTTCTTGTACATGTTGTACAAATCAGTAAAATGAGCACGTGAAGGAAACCCTTGCTGCATCAAGTCTAACACAGATGTCATACCTAAGGATGGAACACCAGAAACATTTTAATATTTCAAATCACTTTTCATTGATCAAATAAGTATTAACACACAAACAACTTATAACATAATACATTTATATGTAACATTCAGATATACACATTTGTTATAAATAAAACGGAGATTTTCCAAAAACAGTCTGTTGGCCAACTACCATGGTTTTTTTGTATCCATAAAAATCTATGTACTAAGATATATATATATATATAATAAAGCATATATTTTACATAACTGATACATGAAACTGTCAGTACTTGGTGAAACTCCATAAGTTAGCCATTTCCAGCAGAATAATGTTTAGTTTTCATTCCTTTGAATACAGGTTACAAAAGTATATGATGAAAAGTCAAATAATATTAATATATATGTGTGTGCATGCACGTATATTAAAATAAATAAATAAATATATATATACATACACACTACTATAGTGTTGGAGACAACACCAGAAATGGTGAAGAAAACAGGTATAAAAAGCAAATCCAACAGGAATGCATCTCCTGATCATTTGAAAATGAGCTGTACCAGACATGTACTGGTGATGTTGTGATTAGTTGTCACCTGACCAATGAAAAAGTTCCACACCAATATAAGGTCTATAATAGTATAGGTAGTCATACTATACTTATTAGCAGTAATGTGAATTCAGCCATGGCTCTCAAGACTGAAATACTGATGAGAGGTATATTAGAAAATTGTAACTGACCCATATTTTCATAGAAGCTTAAGCTACACTCTGATGAAGGTAAGCAAAACTGTCACAATTATGTTACAAATCACAGGGTATTATATGTTTTTAATGAAATTTACATTGGTTGAATACATACCTTGCCAACAACTAAGCTGCAAATAGAGATGTAAATGTTACGTTGATAACAGTAAGATAAAAATTAGCAAAAAGTAGTGTGAAAACCACTGCCGAGAAGAGGTGTCAAACTGAAAGGTTGAAATGGGCATCAGGCCAAAAACAGAGGTATTAGCAAAATGGAAAATCCAAGTTAAAATTGTTCATAAAAACAATCAACAGTAGTTTATTTTACAGATAAGAGTAGAATGTGAATGGTATGAAAATTAATGTACAACATTTATGGTGAAGCATTGTTGGGGATCCGTACAAGTTTGGTTCTGCATCTTAGCTAACAATGATGGTAATAGACACAATATTGAAAACACTCTTGACTACTGACAACTAGATGTAAATTCTGATTCATTATGCCACTTCCTTAGGAACATGACTCAATGTTTAGGGATTTATCTTCTAGCAAGACAATGATCACATATATACAACAAATGTGGTGAATCAATATCTTGAGTGAAAAGATGCCAACAGAATACTCCCAGGAAAAACTTAACCAACACAAAGTTTTTATATGATTGTTCTTGTGACTGTACGGGTTTACGTAAAAACTGAAAAGGTCAAAAAGTGATCAAACAACTTGGCTGAGCTGTAGGAGTCAGGGCCAAATTTTGCACTTGCATTCTTGCAATTTGCTGGTGAATTTTCCATAAAGTGAGTCAGAATTTTTTCTACTTGCAATTTTAAATGAGTACATACTTCCAAGTGACACAAAATTAAATTAACATATAAAACTGCAAAATCAGATTACTAAACTCTTTCAAATCCCTAAACGTTGATTCTTTGATTAGAATTATCTTCTCCATTTATTATGCACCAAAATTAGATTTTCCATCTGATTCCTACTTCAATTATGATCATGTACATTTGTACGTAAATTACTTATTTCAATGGAGGCACTCCTCAAATCATTTTGCTGCTATGTTCTGAATGTGTGTACTATGTCATCAGTAATTATGTATAAATTGGAACATTAGTACCAGTTGACATCTTGCAAAGCAATGGACAGAAAAGATATATACTTCATTAAAATTTTGCCTGAGAAGTAACTTGAATATATAGATTGTAACAATATAACTTTTGATAATACTTCAATCAATAAACTTTTTAAACTGACGAACTCTTCAACTTGAAAAGTTTAATTAGTGAGTAGCCCATAGGGAACAACTATTTAACTTCAACGGTTGAGGAAGTTAAATATTTGCTTTCTTAGAACGTATTTAACTCTTTCCATATGAAATCAGTCAATATGACTGACCTTGTAACCACAAAGTAACCATATGGTTTATGTATCTTCACAAAATTTGGCAGTTTTCAGTAAACATTACAAGTCTTTTGCACATAAAAATTCAGATTGTTTTAGTCAACTAATTCTACCAAACATTTGTCTATGAATATATGCAGTCAAAGTGTTGACTGCTCCCAGTGCAAAATGATTTTCATATTAAGATTTAAAATGCTTTTCTTCTGAAAAATTTCAAATTTCTTTTGCGTGACTTCTAAAAACCCCATATATAAATATCAAATGTTTTTTCAGTAAAACTTTATATTTTATTTGTTATTTTCTCTACTCTAGCTCCATATAAGCTGGATTCATTTTAATGACCTTGTAACCACCATAAAAAAATACAAAATAAATATAAATTTCTCATTTTTCTTTCTTGAATAACTACAGATTGTAACAGGAAACTAAAACTGTTTATTCTAAATAACTTAAATCTTATAACAGTCTACATCTGTTTATACTTAATTTTATTGTTTTATTGCCCTTTGAACTGTGTCTAATTAATAATCTTTCCACACAAGTTGTAAATCACTCAACAAAATTATAGCTCATATTACTATATGGAATGACATGACATACGAGAGGAGCTCGTGAGCATATCTCATGAAGAATTATTATTTTGTTTTTCATTATTTAACATTATTTAACCTATTTTTACATTTTAGTTACTTTTATAACAATAAATAAAGAACAGAGATGAAAAACAAGAAGTATAGTACTTACCTTTTACCTCGTTTTTTGCAGCCGTTATTTGATGAAATTTAAGCCTACTTTTCTTTATAAGGATGTCACACTAAATAATTATTATTTACTTAAATAATGCACCTAAGAACACACAATGATAACACACAAAAAATCAAACAATGTCCTAAAACTATTATAATTTAACTGGCTTTCTAACTAAGAAGGGTTTAAGTTAATTCCCTTTGCTGCTCAAGCTGAAAACAACAAGATAAACTTCCAAACTGAAGATTAATTTGACAATACTCTGTACTGAAAAACAAGTTTATTATGCCATTGAACAGATTAATACTTTGCCTTTCTATTGGTTGCAAATAAAATAGTATAAAGCATCAGTGAAAATTACTGGCAATTTGTGAAAGAGAGGATTTAACAGGTGGGTGCAGAAACTGGATCTGATTTTCTAGTTGATGATTCCGTAAACAAATAAGATTGAAGGGTATAAAAATTAGAGTTTGCCTATGTAATATCAATATTATAATGAGTAATTTACATTAAATTTTGTACTTCAGAGAAAGGTAGTAAATAATTTAGAGCAGGAGAAAGACCTAGAGAACAAATGTCACAATTCTCATACTACGGGACATTGAGGATTTTTGTAAATATTTCCTTATACGATTAAGAACTTAAAACTTGTTTAATTTTAAAATTTGATTTACTAACTATGCCTTGATGCCAAGTTTATTCACATACATTGACAATTAAGTAGTTTATTTAAATTTTGAGTGCAATTATGTAAAAGGTGTGACATGTACAGTTTGACATTCTTATAGTGAGAGGGTTACATGAAATGTTGGTGAATAAAATAAGATAACATTACATTTAATTACAGTTTGTGAATGGAATCAAAATTGTGAAGAAAAGTAGGGGTGACCAGATACTTACACAACAATACAGACACTTTACCTTAATTATAACACATGTACTGTAAAGCACAAGTATCCAATAAACCATGTAAAAAACGTACGTCAGTGGCATGCAGTCAGAGCATACAAATCATGCACTGCATGACCAATTAGAAAGCTAAAATTGTTGCAACAACATTATACAATGAAGTGTGTCTTTTACATTTATTATTACTATTAATGTTATTATTATTACTTTACTATTTGTTTATTGTATGCTTCTTTGTGATGCAGCAGCCTTTTCATCTTATGTTGCAAGAGCTCTGCATGTCTAGTCTCTATCATGTTATGCTATGCAAATTATGTACGCCTAGTCTTGAACTTCCAGCAGTATCCTGTTTTCTGAAGTGATGTCACCACCACCTGTTAGTAAAACCGTGCAAGTTATGCTGCATTAAAATAGCATGACAACTAGTACATGCACAGAAGTTCAACGTCAATATCGTACAAGTTGCATGATTTGTTTCACTTGATTTTGTGATTCTTTTCCTTCACAAACTAAACAGTCAGGAGAGTTTTATGACACTGTTATAGAAAATGATGCTTGGGAATAATAAGGGACTTTTTGAACAATATTCCACAATTATACAATGATAAACAGTATGACAACATGAAAACAGTGTGTAATACTCTGTGTAGAGCAAAGGACTAACAAATAAATACTAATGTATTGTATAACAGATTTGCTTTTCTTTTATACTTTTGTGATAATGTTCTGTACCATTGATAGGTTCACCATTTAGTTATCATTGCCCATTGTTTGTAGCTACTGTTTAACTATCACTAGTGCTTTCATTACTGGATATTATATACTTTGTTCTTTAACTTACCATTTAACCTAAAATCTATTTGTAATAAAAAAAACTAAGAACAGAAACTACATAATTTAGCTAAAATTCAAGTAGGCCTACTCACCAGCACATCTCAACTGGCTTAGAATCTGACCACCTTCAAACTTGTGGTCAACCATCTGTAAGTTAGGTTTAACGCAACGAATAAAGTGTGTTCCTGTGCTGCGAAGCTTGGTCATCAGTTCCATTAGCTGAGAACGAAACTTGTTACTAACACTGATAAAGGTCAGCTTGCCTTTTGATGTCTTAGTAGTTGCATCAACAGAAAATAGCTGCTTCAGAAACACATTCTTAGCATCTAAAATCAATGCTTCTAGTGAGGCATGAAGGGCATCATTATTCTTTTCTAAGAATTTTTCCTACATAAAAAAATTAAATATTAATGTTTGAAATACATACTTTAACTGATTAAAATTTTCAACACAATCTTAAATATAAATATTTTGTAGATTATGTCATATAACCTTTAAACAATATTAATTTTTTCTCCTGTTAGATACCTTTATTCATTGGCAACAGTTATTAAGCAGCATTTATACAAATTTACACATTTTGCTTGTTAAGTTAAACTTGTGCCTGTAATTAGTTTTCTTTACTAGTCTGAAAAAGAAGAGAATGAAACATACTGTTTCATAACAGACAGCTCCTGCAAAATGACGAATCAGAAATCCTTCATCGTCCCTCACTTCGCGATGGTCCCTAAGTCTTGACTTTCGTGGCACAGCTAATCGAAAGTGTTTGCTGTAATTACTATGCACAGCTGTTGTAAAGTGACTGTGGCTAGGCTTAGGTAACTTACTTTCCTCATCCAGAAGATCAAAGATACCAACACCTTTTGCCTCTAGAAGATCTGCAAGTAAAATCATGACCCAACCATAACTTGATTCAGTTTTCAATTTCATGCAAGTTATGCATTTTACACATAAACAAAATACACACACAGCATTTTTATGCAATTTAAAGTATACAATGCTTTGAAGGTAAAGCATTCATGCAATCTTTTGTGTGAGATGTAGAATTATATAAAACTCTTGGAACTTTCAGCACCAACTGTTTCTAATTGAAAATATACTTGCCAACACAAATTTACTGGCTAGGAGTCAAACATCAGAAATATTAAAGTCTGCAGAATTATGTCAATATGGAAACCCCTTAATATTTACTGGAAACTGAAATCTGTCAAATCTTTTCTGTGATATTTAATGATATCATAAATACTACTGTATATTTGAAAAAAACACACCTTTTCTAATGACAAATTCACAAACAATTTTAAAAAGTCAGATCAAACTTTTGAGCAATATAATAACCTGGCACCTGGTATTCCACAAGCCCTGCACACAGATATTAACCATTTAACTCTTCCTTCTTCATGTTCATTAATTTCATTCATACATTTTTCTAAATTCACAAATTGAGCTACAATAATGTCAAGTTTCTGCATTAACAAAATCATATAATTTGATTTCATATTTGTATCAATTTATAGCTTTTAAAATTTTGTTGTAAAACAGTTTTTATAGAAAAGAAAGTTAACACATCCTTAAATTTTAGATTTTCTATTTTTCTATATGGCGTTTGTCTAAAACCTTATATGTATGTATCCACCAGTCTTTTGTTTTCTATAATATAATTACATATTCTGTAATTATAAGTAAAAAAGACAGAATATATAATTTCTTGATTGGAATGAGTGAAAATTGTGCCCAATATTGCAGTCTAGTTTCTACCATTTACACCCATTTTTAGCTGTAGGGCATAGCTATTTTTAAAGCTGAGACACATGCTCATTTCTTGAAACCCTGCTGGGAGGAAAATATTTTTGCACTCAACCAAAAAATTTATAGCTCAGCTTACATTGTCTCTAGAAGTCTGAAATCTACTGACTTTAATTGGTAGAAACAAATGTAAGCCCTAATGACCATAAAAATGAAATGCAGAATTCAAACGCTTACTAATGCTGCAAAAACAAAAGTTTATTAAAAAACTGAGATAAGTATAATATAATCACATCATTTGCTAGCAATAATTTTATAGAAATATATTAGAATCAAACAACATATTATATGAATTTTTTTTAATTTAAAGGTGAAAAGGTGCACCTGAAGTGATGATGTATAGTACAAGTAGTAAAAGGGTTAAAATACAATAAGATCTGTAAACCATGGATTCTTAACCTTATATATTTCAAACAACATTAAACCCACAAATATCAATACTCGTAAGTTAATGTTATCTTGAAAATTAATCATGTTTCTTACCAATGCAATCTTGATTGTCCACATACTCAATCTTTTTAACACCCAAGCCTTCCTTTTCATATAGATCTTGTTCCTGAAGTGTGAAATTGAAAACAAAAAGTTTAGGACTTTTTATTAGTTGTAGCCAAACTGGCAGCTGAACTGTCTAAGTTCATCAAAACGTAACAAATTAATCTGTTGAGCATTTTTATTTATTAGTTTTCTAGCTTTTATACTAGTAAAATACCATCAATAAAACAAAAAGTATGTTTTTAACAATAATTTTGTAATGAATTTACCTGACTTCAAAAATTACAAGATAAACAACTGTTTAAATTTGAAATGCATATGAAAAGCCAATGTTAAAGAAAAAATCAGATCAACTTGAAAATTGAAACTTACATCTTTAAGGATTCTTTCATTAAAAAACTGTTGAAGCTTCTCATTGCAGTAATTGATACAAAACTGCTCAAAACTGTTCTTCTGGAAATATTCTAGATGAAAACCAAAATGCTAATTGATCTAACTGGCAGATGAAAAAACTGTCAGTTTAGAATGTAGTTATATGATATGTAAACCTCATGTATATACACACACACACATATATATGTATATGTAGTTATATGATATGTAAACCTCATGTATATATATATACACACACACACATATATATGTAGTTATATGATATGTAAACCTCATGTATATACACACACACATATATATGTAGTTATATGATATGTAAACCTCATGTTTATACACACACACATATGTATATGTAGTTATATGATATGTAAACCTCATGTTTATACACACACACACACACACATATATATATGTAGTTATATGATATGTAAACCTCATGTTTATACACACACACACACACACACATATATATGTATATATATATATGGTATTTCAGATAATTATGAAGAAAGTGAGGAAAAGGTATAAAAGGTAGATTCCAATGTCACTCCTTTATCACATGAAAACAGACTGCACCACAGTACTCTGATGCTTATACTGCGATTGGCTGTAACAACCAATCAGAAAGTTCCATACCAGTCTATAGACTATAAAAGTACTGGCAATCATACTATGCCCAGTAGTAGCAAAGCATCAAACATGTTAAAATCAAAATTTGGGCTAGACAAGGATGCTCCAGGCAAAAAAAAGTGTGGCAGATCCCATATTTTTATAGAAGCTGTATGCAAGGCTCTGAAAGAGGGTACATGAAGAGGGTCAAAGCAGAAAATTAAACCTCTCCAAACACAATGTTAAGTATTTCAAAGTATATTTTTTATGAGATGGACAATGATTAGGTTCAGATTTTACCAAACACCTTACTTTAAATGTAGATGTAAGTTTACCTGAGAACCATAAGATACACATTAGCCTGAAGTAGTATCAATAAACATGTAGCCACTTGAAAACTATTGATGAAAAATTTGAAATGTGGATTGGACCACAAACATTTGAATGAGTAAAACTAGCAACATGCATTATTTAACTCTATGAGATATGAAGATTTTGATGTACTTGATTTTTGATGCACTTGTTGTAAGGTTTATGTTATTGTATTGCAAAAAATAAAATAAAAAATAACTAAAAACTTCAGAATTCCTTTCTATACATTATGTATCTTCTGCAAATAGAATATCTTATTTTCATATGTGATATTTGTATGAGTTTGCTGCTTTACAATTTTGAAAATATTTCATTGTAATAAGTTTTTAAGAAACAAACATAACTACCTTTGTTGTAGATTTTTTATGTTTTCTCAGATTCTTTTAAAACTTTCATATAAAGATTTTATTTTATAAAACTGTAAATTTTATCTGTTTTCATAAAAGCAACCCACACAACTTAACTAAATTTACAATCACTAGCATACAATAGAAATAGCTTTCTTACCTTACCAAAATTACAAGCAGACTTTTTTAAACTGTTAATCAGAAAGATTCATTGGATTTATGTAATAAGCTGTAAACACATTTTGTAATCATTTAAATATTCTGTGATACATTTCTTTTTAGTGATTTTCTTTGCTCATTCAAACAGTTACTCAGGCCAATAAGGCCTAATGGAAACAAGGCCTAACATAGCAGACTTGTCAACAAAATGAAATTGACATGGTCGAGTGCAAAATGGTTCAATTAAATCTACTCCAGCTTCTTCTACAAAAAACATTTCTTGAAATGAAGTATAAAATAATAGAGCAAGCTTTAAAAAATTCTGAACAGTACTTTTATCAGAAGTTGTTGACAAATATCTTTTCTCCTAGCAACAAATCATCAGTTTAAGCTTTTATCACTTTGTTAAAATCTTTATGCAAAGGGATACTAGACTGGAGGACTTATTAGACTCTATAGTTACAAAGAACAGAAAAAGAGCTTTCATGACATGTTTAGATCAGTAGCCTAACACTTTGCAAAACTGAGATATGGGCAATTACATTCATAAATTACAAATTCACAAATGCTTTAAAACCCTATCATAATTAAATATTTTCAAAATTTCAAAGCTATGAGTTCATACAAATATTAAATATAAAAAATGAGATATTTCATTTACAGAAACTACACATCCTGTTGAAAAATATTTTGAATTTTCTAATCATTTCATCCAGTATTTTATTTGCAATGTAATAAAATAAAGCATGCAACAGGTGCATTGAAATCAATGCTGCAAGTGCCATATTATACTCAGCAAAAATTCAGAAAGTTCCCAAACATTAATGACTTTATTGGGAGAACACTGAAATGAGCCAAAAGTCTAAATTTGCAATATTTAAAAAATTTTATGAATAAAATTAAATAAAACTTTTTATTGGATAAACTTCAACTCTGAAGTTTTTTTTTTAAATATGTGGAAAAAAAAGTCACTACAAGCATATAATTTCTTAATTCCATAGTGCAATTTTGTCCTAGAAACAGATTGCATTCATCCAGGTATGAAAGAGTTGAAGATGAATCCAAGTTTACATTGTTCAGCAATAATAAATGGCAATTTGTTTCACAGCAGCGAAAACAGTATCATAGTCAATGCATAATGTCTGCAGGAAGCATGGTGGGGTATCAGTACAAGTTTGAAGCTTTAACCAATGGTTTTGGTGACATACATAAAATTTATGGCACCCTAACTGCTTACAAGTATATGGAGATAATGATTCATTATGCCACTTCCTCAGAAACATGACTCATTAAGAAGGGGTTCATCTTCCAGTTAGACAATGAACCCAAGTACACTGCAAATATGATGAAATGATATTTTGACAGTAAAGAGGCCAGTGGAACACAATTACAGCTTCATCTGCATAAAGATATGAGTTAAACATTCTTGAGGAGTATAGACTTATATAGAAACTGAGAAAGTCAAAAGGTGACTTGGTTGAATTGTGGGGAATAATACAGAACATTTGAAACAACATTTCATATTTTTCATTGATAAATTATATCACACCATAAAAACAAGGTGTAATTCTGTGTAAACTATAGGGCTCATATTTTACCAACTTATTTGTTTTTCTTTCATATTTTCTCTGACAATGTTATGAACTAGTAACAACTGAACATTTAGTTGCCATTAGTTGTTGTTGTCACTTGTACTGCTTGGTTATTTCCATTACTGTGTATGTATATTACGTTGTAGAATTAGTTCCAAGATTGTTTCAACACAAAAAAAAACATTTGAACAAAACATTATTACTCATACATTTAGATATTTCAAGATTTTCTACTAATATCTTTGCCTTATGAGAAATATATCTTTAGTAAAAGTGACAAATAATGATATGAAATTTGACTAAATTTATAATCCCATTATAAACACTTGCATAATATTTACATATCATGATAAGAAAAAAATTGGGAAAGAGTTAGTATATAAAATTTCTAATTTACTTTTTCTGTGATAATTTTTTCCACTTTAAGCAAACAAAACAAATCAAGGTGTTTTATATCTCTACTTGAAATTACAATAATTTAATGACAAATCATGAATGAAATGTGCTAATGTAAAATGCAAAAAAATCCATTAGTTTTAACCTACCAAAGCCTGCTATGTCAAGCACTCCAATGTAGTAGAAAGAAGAACTAAAAGGAATACTCTGGTTTATGCAGTGTACTATATAGTCAAACAGCCTGGAGTACATAGCTTTTGCCAGTGCATCTCGACCATTCTGTGCCTCATGTACTTTCAGTGGCACCCTATTGTGCAAAATAATTAGTTCAAGCAAGTTTAGTGCAAGGCTAAAATCTCTTACAAGGATTTCCAAATAATGGTAAAAAAATTTCATATACTTTAAACTGATCAATTCTGGTTAGATTATCAAACCTCTATTTACCTAGATGCATGTCTTAAGAGAACACAATAAAACTATGCTAAATTGCTAATCAAATAATATTAATATGTTTATAAAAACAATTAATGGTATTGTGTATTCAAGTTAGCAATTATTAATCAGGATCTGTGAAAAAATATTAAGACAAACATGATTAACTCTCTCACTATGGGCTCGGTCCCATAAACCAACCTCTTAACCATTTTGTGCTTGTTATAGTTTTCATGCTATAACTTTTAATACAGTAAGCTTATCTTCACGTAATTTTGCAGATTATCCAGAAACATTACAAAGTTTTCGTACACAAAATATGAGATTTTTTGTCATGTTTCAAGATATTTTAAGTAATGATTTTCTCACGAATTTTTCTTTTCAAATGTTGACTGTCCAACGTTCAAAATAATTTTGATTTTAAAATTAAAAATACTTTTATGCATCAGACGATTTTCTCATTTAATATGTGAAATCTTAATAATCTACAGATAATTATCAATTGTTTTTTTCAGAAAAACTTTATATTTTATGTTATTTTCTTTATTTTATATCTGTATAGGTTTAGTCAATTCAACGAACCTCGTAACCACCATAAAAATATAGGAAATAGATATAAATTATGCTTTTTTATTTTAGAAGTACTACAAATTAAAACACAAAAGCACAAAAGTTTAGCCTAAATAGCTTATATTGTATAATATTATACATACATAAAAATTTATTATTTTTATTTTATTGACCTTTGAGTAGTATCTGACTAACATTATGGAAGTCGAATGATGAGGTACACTCATGCTATGACCTGTCTTGGCTGAGTTCTAGTGGACCAGTACTTTGTAAAATACATTCACATTTCAATTATAATACATTATATATGTATAGACATTATTGCTATTTGCAAATATTTTCTTAAATTTCTGTTATTTTTCTTAAAACATAGAATAGTAAATAAAGAAATATAGAAAACAATTATCTCTTCCAGATACGAACTTTGAACTCGTTTGCTCCTTGCCATAATTTGCTAAGCCTTATCAAATTTCACACATGCAGAATGTAGAAACAAATATTATTTTTTAGTTATACATATG